AAATTTACAAATTTTGTAAATTTAAAATTTTATCTTTCTATGGTGCCATGAACCAAGCCATAACAGTTCTGATTTTGATTCATTTATTTTAAGGCCAGAACATCTTTCAAAAAGACCTAGCAATTCAAATAGCTACATGACGGACTCACTATCACTCAAGAGCGCTGTGATGTCATCTGCATACTGAGATAATTTTATTTCCTCAGATCCATTGTACTCAATTTCAATTCCTTTGATCATTTTGGAGTGTCTTATCTTTTGCGCAAGGACCTCAATGGCTATAACAAACAACATACCTGATAGTGGGCACCCCTGTCGAATACCTAGAGCTTTCAAGTAAGAAGGGTTCCGACACATGGCCATTGTTCAAAACACAACTGGAGATATTATGATAAAAAACATAAACCCACTGGCAGAGATGAGGGCCAAAGTTAGTTGCTTCCAGGCATTTTTGAATGTAGTTTCATTCCACCGAATCAAAAACTTTCTCAAAATCTAAGAAGATGGCCATGCCTGGTTTATCCTAATGCTTAGTGTATTCCATTATATAATCAAGCTGATGCTTTCGCCTATGAATCTTCCTTTTATATAACCTGTTTGAGAAGGATTGATCAAATGTGTGAAGTACCTTTTCTATACGGAGAGCAATGGTTTTTGTTGCAATCTTGTAATCTACGTTAAGTAAAGATACAGGTCTCCAGTTTTTTAAAGACTGGGTATCCTTTTTTTCTTTGAAATCAAAGATATAATCCCTTGTCATTGAGAAATAGATAGATTTCCAGTATTGAAGGTGTAGTTAAAGCTGTTGACAACATAGGTGCTAATAATGTCCCAGAAAGCTCGATAGAATTTTGGTTTTAGCCCGTCAGAGCCAGGAGATTTGTTATTTTGCATCATTGATAATGCTTTTGTACATTCAGCTATGTTGACAACCATTTTGAGAATTACACAACCACACGTACTCTCATATTGAGCTTGGGCAACCTGTGGTTGCTTGTGATCGTTATTATGATCGATGGCAGCAAAAACGCAATTGTGAAGGTAGCTTTTCAACTTTAGAGTGCACAAGTTTGTGAAAAGCGCAGTAAAGTGGAATGGTTATGAAGCCTGTTATACCTCTCCGTTACATTTTTTTTTTACATGATGTACAGCTGTATTTTTGTTTTCAGTGTACAACGTTTAATAGTAGAGGGTCTGGATGGGGTTAACAGACAACTGACAAATGGCCAAAACTTTAACTGACAACTGACAAATAGCCTAAAAATTAACTGACAACTGACATTTGCCTTGAGTTTTACTGACAACTGACAAAGGACCTGATTGTCCCTTATTTTCTACAAAACCCATTTTTAAGGTCTTAAATAGCATTGTTCCACTCTTTTCGTCAGACAGTGTGATCAAATGTGCATTTTTGGGTAATCTTAGACTTTCAAACAAGTCCTTCGTCTTGTAGCAAGTCTAGGGTAATCTTAGCAGCAAGATGCTCAAGTGTCAAATTTCGTTAATGATTTATTATAAAACCTATGTCATGTACCATCTGTGGAAAATGACCTACATGTATGATCTCAAATTTACACTCCTCTAAGAATGCGCCAGCATACAAGTCTATGGCTGCTAATGAGGGCATTACAAAAGCAATTGCAAGTTTTTTTCCGAGATCATTCAGATACGGTCTTTTTTTCGATCTACGTTCCAATAATATATTCTGAAGGTATAAATTTTGATTGGCATAATGGTTGGAAATGTTGGACTCTGGCCAGCAAAAATTTCGAGAGGAGGAGAGCAACACAAGATTTCAAAAATGGAGGGTCACTTGAAATGCTCACAATAGCAAAACTGGTAAAAATTAAGGTACTACTGCATCCGTTTTGGAATTTAATCATTAATATGTGCCTTTAAAGCTAAATTTCGCATCAAAAATATACAAATAAGTTTCATAGCTAATCATTAATAATCATTTAACTGACAACTAAAAAAATGCCTGAAATTTAACTGACAACTGACAAACGGCCAAAATTTTAACTGACAACTGACACATGTACCCCCTCCCCTCCCCCCAATCCAGACCCTCATAGTAGCATTCCTCAATGTATCATTTTGATCTTGAAAATAAATAAAAGCATCACAGCAATTTTTTCAGTCAAGGGGTTGTGCACAATGTCAGGGAACTACTAACATAACCTGCTAAACCGTTGTTTTCATTATATCTTTGATGAATCTGGCCTTTCATAACCAGTCTCATCTTTCTGCAGGTACCGTCATAGACAGGGTTGGTTATAAGCTTAATTCCGGGAAGAGCACACCTAGATTTATCTCATGATCTAAAACATAACCTTTATTACCATTGCGTAAATATAACGTGCTCACAAGACCAACACTTTCTACGAAATAGCCTTAAATTTAGGTTAAGCTAATTAAACACAAGCTTAAGCTTACCTCATACATTTTGACGACTTCTGCCATGCCACATCCGTGAATATTTAAGCCATAAATGAAGCCAAGTGTTAAAGAATGAGTTAAATTGCCGATGGAGATCAAATTCGAGTTTCGTAAGTCCAAATAATGTCACTTTGGGTCCAATTTAACTACACACGAGTCACACATTTCCCGACCGTCGCCATATTGGTTTCTCTGAGGGACTGGTCCTCTGGCGCGTGAGTCTCGCGCGCGAGTTTCCACAGAACTCGTCTCGCGTTTCTCGAGTTCTCGTAAAACTGAAACACGATGAAGAACTCAGAAAAATAAACTAGTATACCGGTAACAGGTGAGCCATAGTCGGAGTGGGAGACCGTCAACAGGAAATCTTTTCCAATAATAAGAAATAAAGCATCAAGAATTCCAACTTCCCGGTTGAAACAACGCATATTCAACTTTTCAAACAATATCTCTTGACTAGTCAGACCAGCCTTCTTCAGGCTTATAGATAGAAGGAATTGCTCTATAGATTATTGTTATTCCTTTGAAATGAGGTCTTGTAATGACCTCTTAATTTAGTTTTACAGCGAAAGGGATGTTGTAAACGATATAAAAGATGGATGATGTTGTTGTTTGACGACCGACCGAAATTTATTATTGAAAGTAAATTTTTAATTCCCCTCTACATCAGGCAGACTGCGAGCAGTCTCTTATTTTTCGTTTTGAATTCAGTAGCAGATCACAGTTCGAGAGCACGTGTGACGGGACGAGCGCGAAGCTGCGAGGAACGAGGGCGGAAGCCCGAGCGAAGAAAAAAGAGTCCTTTTTCCCCAGAATTCTGGTAGTTGAAGTATAATTACGTCAACGTGTACTTGTCTTATTGACGCCCCATGGAAAACCGGCCTTGGCAAAGGCCCTCGTTACTATTATTAATATATAAATTAAGCCAGGGATAAAAGCGAGGCTCTCTTTAATTTTTATAGATTCCTCAAAGAAAATATAAAATCGAGTAATACTAAAGACAAGGTGAAAGCAACGAGAACTTTAAAAAACAACAACAATAGATCTAATTAACAAAAAAAAAAACTTCGCACGTGCAGCACACTTTTTTTATCTAATTAGTAAAAAAACAACTTTGCACGTGCAGCACACTTTCTTCTACATTATGCCGTTGTTTTGCACGACTAAAACGTATAACGTCTTTTAACTTCCTATTTGCACGTTTTATGGAGGAAATGTTTGTGTTCCTGTTCACTCTGTTTTTTCACTGCCGTTCGTTTTCACTTTGGTAGCCACTAGTATTTCTCATTTTCTAACCGCTGTTGTATAATTTTCACGTTTTTATTCCAACGAAATTGGTCTCCGTTGTTATTTATTTCTCGCTCTATCTCTCTCCCTGTTATCTAAGTTAATAAAGATATTAAAATTCAGTGGAAAGAAAGACTCGTTTCTTTTTTCTCTAAAAGTCCCGGCGGCCATGTGATTTACCGCCGAAACGAACGAGGTGCTTGAAATGCAAAATTTCACCTCAGCTATAACATAGTCCTCCCCCGACGGGTTGACTCCCGACTCCCTTTCCCCTCCCCCAGCGTCTGTACGGACGGGAGATCGTACGCTGACGTCATAACCAAATTTTATCGGATGGATAGTCGTGCTTAGCGCGCGCGTGGTGCTCCGCTCTTATCATCATCATCATCATCATTATTAATAAACTATTATAGATTTTTAGATGAGATAGAGTATACTGTGTTCACACGTCTACACCAGCTCGAAGGTTGCTGGGTAAGCACTTAAACTCATTCCAGCAAATATTAACCTTAAGGGGGAAGGGGGTGGTTGCCACCCCCGCTTGCTGGGGTGACTTTTTTTCCTAGACGATAAAACATCAGCACCTGACGTTTTCAGTAGCTTCTCGTTTATCCTTCGCGCGCGCGCATTTTGAGACAAGTTTAGTGATGGTAAGTGTCTTTGGTTACTCGAGATGACGTCATAAGTAGCAGGTGGTCAAGCCATTTTTGGAGAAAATACATGGTTTTTTTTCAACTTCTTTCAACAAGTAATGTAAATCTTGTGGCTAAAATGATGCAAAGTGCTTATTTATGTGTTATTTTTCATGTCAAGCACAAAAAATACCATTTTCGCGGTTTATACCTGATTTCTAAGTCTTCGTAAAATCCAAGATGGCGGTCAAGATGGCGACCATTGTTGGTGACGTCACAGGCCTCCAGCAGCGCCACTACCCATAGAAGATCAAAGGATTTTCACTAAATGCAAAATCGTTTCGAAATATTGCAACATAACAAAACCTTTAGGGAGGGGTCCTTTCAACCTCCCCGCCCCCGGAACCACGGTGGGGATATGAATTTGCGTGTACGTCCGAGGGTTAAGTATATTGATCTCGGAGTCGTTTTTACCTACTGAGAATACCCCAGTCCTTCCTAAACTCGTATTCGTTCCTTTTGAATTCAACTGGCCTGTAATAGCTATTTGCAGGGCACACAGTATTTTGTAAAACTTTATCGATTTGTTAACTAATACGGTGTTGCTGTTGTTGTTCCCTCTGAGAGAAAAGAAACAAGATGAGTTTATTTTGCATCTAATTGCGGCCTTAATTCCATCAAGCGCCCATGATGTGGCAACGGTGGAGAAACCTTCCTTGAATTTAAATAGTCACGACATGATAAAATGCGTTGAAATTCGGCTTTAAATGAGCTATTCATTCCTGCGTAAATAAACACATTAGTTGAGCTGCTTAAAAATACCAGTCCCGTGTGAAGTAAGTAATACTCAAGGGGTAGTGAAGGTATTAAACAGAATCTCTTGATTATAGCAAGGGTCCAGGCTGGAATCCAACACAGGCCAAACCCAAACACAACAACAAAAAGAGATTTGGAAATTTTGATTTCTTGAGAAGTGATTCTCGCCGCGCGAATGCGACTTTGCAAGCCTGGGGCAACTTCAAGGTTGTGTTTTTGAATGGCTGCAAACACTTTGAAATAACAGAAAATGGCAACACCAAAAGGTAACATAAGAAACAAGAACAGTACTATTGAGTAGTGAGCAATCATGCCTGCCTTGGTGTGATGGATTATGTGGCAGCTGGCATAATGAGGAAGGAATCCAATTTCTTGTAAACCAGCAAATTGAGGTACAATGATATAACCAGCAATGAAAACGCACAAGCAAATGAGTATAGTGCGGGACTTCTTCCGGGAGAAGATGTTACTGTAGTTGGTTGTTTTCACAATTCTGACATATCGGTTGAAAGCCGTGAGACCCATGATAGAAGTAGAAGCAAAAAGCCCAAAGTTTGCCAAAAACCCATGTATGAAGCAGTAGACAGTTCCGAATGGCCACTTCCGTGTAATTAGAACTCCGGCCGTAAATGGCATAACCAGGGTAGCAGAGAGTAAGTCGGTACCAGCCAGGCTTATTATGTACAAATTGGTGGTTGTACGCAAGCGAGAATTTTTATACACAGCTAAGCACACCAACAGATTTCCAATGAGTGCTACCGCGTTCATGAGAAGACAGATGCATGCCTCGAAAATCATCACCCCTTTACCATTATCAGGCATCTCTGAATTCACGCTTTCTGAATAACATAATCTTGTTTTTGTAACGTTGAGAGTCATGGCTGTTACGTTTTAGGTCTGTTTGGAATCACTCCACTAGTTCAAAGGAACAAAATGACTGATGCGAAATCTTCCCGGTGAGAAGAGCGGTTTGAATCAACTTGGCTATGAAAATGAAACCAGTCGTGGGCGATCGAAGTAGTCTGGTTAAGCCGTAAGCAAACAGAGGAGGTACGAGCAGTTTTAAATGGATTCCACACCGTGGCTGAAGATTATTTTTCGTTTGATCCGAGTTTAGAAACCTATTAAAAACGAGAAAATCCGTCAACACTGTATTAACATAAACCGCGCACACTTATCTATTCTGTTGCCGGTACCTTTCCACTTTTTGGCGCAAAAAGAATACAATTATATAACTGCAATAGAAATTAAATATGCATTACAACACTTCCTACGCAGCTGCAACTGAAGATTTTTCCGTTTACCCTGACGTAGTGTCCTCTTATGAAATGAAAACCAGGAAACAAGATTGTCAGAGAAAGATGGGCACATCAGATGAAATGAAATGGCATTCAGACATGAAATGGCACTCAGAAAAAGGAACTGATTTAAAGATGGCTCACTTGACTGTATCCCAAATTACGCGTCGGCATACACTGGCAGTCTGCATAGACATGAAGTACAAACCTTTTAAACTGATCGGCATTATGTCAACAGCTGCTTTGACATCGGTTTCATTATAACCGGTCAATAGCTCCTTACTTCTGGAACTTTCCTAAGAAAGGCGTTCCGATCCTCAAAATTATAACAGTTCTTTACGTAGGTCGGCACCTCCGCCAGGTTTGAGCGTCCACTCTCGTTGTTGTTGTCGTTGTTTTGTTTTAATTGGTATTTTTTAATTTAGTTCTCCTAAGCAAAACTGTGTGATTGGGTGCTTTTAAAACAGATGTACAGTAAAATGAGGCATACACGCGAATTAATTAAGTAACTTCAATTCTGTCTCGTTTTGTTTTAATCACACATTTTCAGCCCAACTATATTCCTTACATCGTGTATATTTGACTAAAGTATTTTAGGTCATGCGCTAAATTTCTAGGGAATCACTTCAGGTGCAATATCTTGTTTTCAAGACTACTGCGTCCTTTATTTTTACAGTAATGGACTTGATAGTTTTTAAATAAACAGTCCTTAGGACTGGAGGTTTAATGTGACACGTAAACCAGCCCATCGAAGCCCAAATGAGGCAACAGATGAAGACTAACTTTAACCTAAAGACTTACGTAATTACAAAAATTAATGCACTTTCTTCAATACGATGTATTTTAAAGTCCTGCAAAGAAGTCAATTTAATCATTGAAAGCACATCATATTGTCTTTCTTATAATATTCAACTTGAAAGCAATATTAAAAAAAATGGTCGGCGTTATTTTCAGACAAAAGGACCTTCAAAAGATAAGAAAAAATATTAATGGACACGCAAGAAATATAAAGCTAAATCCAAATGAAAGCAAAACAGCCTCCTATCTATTCGCCGCATTGGACAAATGAACAAAAAAGGGTGTATTAAGAACTGGGTCATGTGACCTCGCTACTCACATTTGGTAGAGAATCCAGTGATACAATGTAACTTATTATTAAATGAAAAATGTGGCCAAAAATAACATCTAGCTAGGTAAGTAAAGTTTTTAGGGCAACTTGATATCGTTATACCAATTGCAAAGAAGCAGTCTCCAATGTCGCCCAGTATTGATATTGATCAGCTTCGAATGTAAATGAAATAATTTCAGTATTGCCTCTCTGTTACTATTATCACCAGTCCATCTCTACCAACTCACAACAACCGACTTTTCTAGAAGGAAGCATGCATGATTCATCTTACTCTCTACCTATACTAGCTGGTACTTTCACCAAAAATGTTTTGCTAGTAATAAAGTCAATTGAATACTGGAACGAAGGCCAAGTATCGGGAGCGGATCCAGGATTTTTTTTGGGAGGGGGTGTACTCGTCTCTTGCTCTACTTCAACACCAATAAACCACATAGTTTTTCTTTTTTTTTGCAGAATACCAGTTGTATTAGAAAACCGCAGGTCATCTCGGGGGGGGAGGGGGGTGCGCACCCCCTGCACCCTTCCCCTAGATCCGCCCCTGACTATGACTTCACGGTGCGAATTAAATTAACTTAATTAACAGTCACTTTATAGTGCTGCAGGTGTACGAAGGGACATTTGTCACCATTAGAATGCACACTGCTAAATTAGAAAACCATTCAGAGTACACTACGCGAAGTTCAAAGTTTGTTATAACTACCTAATTAATAATAAAGAATAACCCAAACCTCAGCATAATTAATAAAAACTACTTGTTAAATGACTGATGTAAATTAGAACCCAGTATCCTCTCCTCCTCTCGGAACGTCCTTTTCAAGACTTCGCTGTGCAACCTGGCCTTTGGCTGGTAATGCCTCTGGATCGTGGATGCGCAGTTCTGACGGCCAAAAATAGTCTTCAGGAATTCTATCAAACTGAACTTCATCATAGTGTTGGTCCTCTTCGGTCTCGGTCGGATCTTCGCTTAGTATCTCGAGGTAATCCTAAAAAAGGATAAAAATCAATTGGATGACTAACTGATTGCCAAGACTGTTCAGCTGACTTATCGACTGCTAATTTGATTAGTTGAGCGTCAGAGTGAAGGGCAAGCGTTAGAAACTTTAGCTTCTCCTTTTTCCTACGGCAGCCAATGTACCTTATAAACTCAGTTGATACAACCAAATCTTTTAACTGGCTAAATGCATGACTGACTGACTGATTGGCTTACTGACTAACTGACTGACTGACTGACTGTGTGACTGGCTGGCTGAACGACTGACTGACTGACTGACTAACTAACTAACTGACTTACTGACTAAATGAATGGCTGACCGACTGGCTTACTGACTAGCTGACTGACTGACTAACTAACTGGCTGACCGCCGACTGACTGACTGACTGACGGATTGACTAAATGAATGACTGACTCAATGACTGACTGACTGACTGACTGACTGACCGACTAAATGAATGAATGACCTACTGACTGGCTTAACGACAGCCTAACTGACTGACTGACTCACTGAGTGGCTGACTCACTCAGTGACTAACTTACTGGCTGACTGACTGATTGACTGACTAGCTGACTTACTGTCTCACTGACTCTCTGACTAACTGACTAGCTTAACGCTTGACAGACTGACTGACTTGCTGGCTGAATGACTGGCTATAGCTGACTAATCGATCGCATGTTCGAGTAGCGGAAGTGCTGAACGGCTAACTGACTTCCTGACTATGAATTCAAGTTATTAAATGCCCTTACGGCCTCGGCAGACAGCAAACTGTCCATTGCACGAGCAAGCTCTTGAAACGTCGGTCTTTCTTTTGGGTTCGGATGCCAGCACTTGACCATCATATCATAGCTGAAACAATTTAAGACAAATTTAATACTGATTAGAGTGCACTAAAAACAACTACAATCCTAAATAAACAACGGCCGTAACCCGAGATGAAGGCTTAGACTTAAGGTACGTATCATCATCGTCAAAGTCGAACTAGATCGGCCTTCCAGATAAGTTTAATTCTGTCTTGTCTTTCAGGTGGTATTATTGTTCTTTGACTTTCTACAACAAACATGCCAGTTCACGTAAATTATCGCTTGTCTGCACATTCCTGGTTTCCCTCTCCCATACGAAAGATACCAAAACAACATCCCGGATGTCAGCCTCTCTTTCTATATATCCTCCTAACCACCACTTCAAAGCTTTCTGCAGGGCAAACGGGTACAGTTAGTACTCCATGATAGAATACAGATTCCACTTTTTGCCGTGGGCTGGAAGAGATAAATCCTCTTTGGATTGTATTCAATGTTTACTTACATTTCGTCACTGCATCCTTCAGGTTTTGGAAGTCGCTCTCCTGTTTTCAATAACTTTACAATCTCCTGCCCTCCAAGGGCAGCGTAAGGAACTTTGCCTGGCAATAAAAAAAGAAAAAGAAGTAGAAATTTCCATGTTATACATGTATCGTTTAGTAATTAGTGTAAATCTTTTCACTATCGCCATTGTTCGTAATACAAATGGTTATGAGGTGGAAAATTGAACATAGGAAGCAAAAACAAAAACACTCAAGATTATGTGTTCAATGTAGCAAGTAGGCTAGGTGGTAATATATGAGCGATTACCGAAAAACAACTCAAGTAAGTCATCATTGAAATCCGGGGATAACTAATCTGACGGCAGGTCCCTTATAAGGTGGGGGAGGACAGGGGGTGGGAGCACGGGAGAATAGGAGACGGGAGGAGTACAGGAGGCGGGAGGTTTGAGCCCCCTGTGCCCACCCCACCGCCACCCCCCACTCCACAGCCTTTTACTCATGGGATTAATCCATGTGATTTTTACCGTTATAGTAAGCAAAGAGAGAAGGCATTTCCTACCTCCAGTTTCTATTTCCCAAAGAACGACGCCAAAGGACCATCTGCAGTGAAATGATAACTAATTAGCGACAGGATTGTTGTAACAATGTGTACAGATGAATAATGGACGTTTCTTATCCTGTTTACAACAGGTGCAGTTCCTACTTTATCACGCTTCAAAGATCTGGTTGCACCTCGGGTTTTAGAAACCTCATAAAACACTCCCACTCGTTGGTAAAGAGTTACGAGTAATTAACTATACCGAAACCACCATGACCTCGTAATTGCATCTACTTCCTTTCTGACTAACAAAAGTTGAATGAATTTCTCATTCGACAATCTATCTCGTTATTACGAGCAAATTTCCGTGTCCCAAAGATGGTCGATTGACTCCTTAAGTCCCAATATCCAGAGGAAAATTCTCCAGAGTGGTCGCCATACATTTCTTTGAAGAAGTAGACGAGAGAGAGTTTGAGGAGAGATCAAAGCATTTTCTCTTCACTGATCATTTCATTAATTCTCATAAACTTTTCTCTTGATGAAGTATTTATATTGTTCAGAGAATATTGACACTGGCAACTCTTGAGACTTAATGGGGTTTAACCGTAGCTGTCACTTACACATCACTTTCTGAAGTATAGGAATAATCCTGCAACGACTCCAGCGCCATCCATCTGACAGGCAGTTTCCCCTGCAAGGAGGTTATATTTCGATGAATTCAAGAGGGACAGAGGAGTGTACGAATTTTTGCGGGAGATATAGTTAACAATTATTCCTCGAGCTCGAATAGGCTCTGAGTTAATAGCCCATGAGGCCGAAGGCCGAATGGGCTATTGACTCAGAGGCCATGAGGACGAGAGGAATAATTGTTTTAGTAAAATCCAACTAGTTGGTCAAAAATATCGAGACAAAACAGCTTTAGCTAGCAAAACTCGCTTCAGCCGCCATTTTTTCGGTTTTCAAAGCCGGCGCTTTTCGCTACTACAGTCGACTCTCTCTTAACGGACACCTCTGTAAAACGGACACTTAGAGTTGGTCCCTGCCTTTCTTTACTCCTTTTATTTGACCCTCTATAAGACGGACACCTCTCTAAGACGGACAATTAGTGCCGGTCCCAAAGGTGTCCGTCTTAGAGAGAATTGACTGTAGTGGGCTATAACATGATAGTCTGGTAGAAGTTCAACCAATCAGAACGCAGCATTGATAATAGACCACTAGTTGGATTTTACTAATTCTATTTATTCTATCACTTGTGCGAAAATAGGCAGCGAAACATTCGCTGGATAGAGAATAGCCTACAAAGAAAGCGTTATTTCCCTCTCCCTCCCCTCTCCTCCTCGTGGTCCTCTCCCCTGGAATAATTTTTTTATCGCGCCAACTCTCTGTTAGCCTGCGAACAGCAGACGCATTTCCGGTCGTCGCTTCTCTCTGTCAGTTTCAACATCCAAGATTGCGGGAGAAAATTAGTCCTAAGAATAGCATTATCACTCGTGCTGCAAAGAACGCCTTCTTTACAGTCTAGTTGGAGAACAACAACGGACATTTGGGCCCGCGAGAATGAGCCCCTTAAAATTCTGCACCTCCTACTTTGAGCCTGTCATTCAGGGAAAAGCCGCTGTAATTTATCCTCAGGTTTTGCATTCACTTGTAAAAGAAGTAGAAGTTAAAAAAAATGAAACACTGTCATACCCCGGATGTAGTCTCGTATGCTCCACTTTCGTAAATATCACGAGCAAGTCCAAAGTCCGACACCATAGGAATATAGTTCTTTCCTAATAGGACATTCCGGCAGGCCAAATCACGATGCACACACTGCAAAGAAAAAACAGTAAGTGTATTACAGTAGGAATGCTAGCCTCTCACGCAGACGTTCTTAGGGGTTCGTCGTGTGGCAGGAACGCGTGACGAACCCCTAAGAACGTCTGCGTGGGAGGCTATACGAATGCAAGCTTCAGCGCACTCCCCCCCTGGCTCTCCGATTCCGACCCTTGGTCACTAAGCAATCATCATCAAACTGTGCAATACTGTATTACAAACATACCTTGACTTTAGCCAGGTGGGTCATCCCTTTGGCGATGCCATCCGCTAATCGTATTATTTCCAAGTTGGATAGTGCCTTTGACTCATCGGACTCCTCCCCTGTGTTGATATAGTCTGGCTGACTTTGGCGCTTCCGGACGTAGTCTAACAGACAACCGTTTTCAGCGAACTTCACGATGACCCAAAGAGGACCTGTAGTAAGGGAAGAGGACAGAGAATCTACCCTGGGTACCAGAAGTTTTTTCTCGCGCGCGGCGGGAATTTTCGGTGTTGGCCGAAGGCCGACACATGTCCGGCCGTAGGCCGAAGTTACGAGCGGCGAAGCCGAGAGAAAAAACGCGTGGGACACTATAAAGACTTAACAGAAACCGGAAATCGTGCAAGAAAAGTCTCTGGCACCCAGGGTGCAGAGAATCATAAACGGTCGGAGATTAAGCAACCACAGAAGTGATCGCAACAATGTCAGAAAAATCTATTGGCCTTGTTTTACAAAGATAAATTTTCGTTCCTGTTTCTTACTTGGATCTGGTGTCTAAAATTTATCTCCTGGGCCCAGTTGTTCGAAGGCCAATTAGCTCTAATTTCAGTCAGGATTTCTTTTTCTTTTGTTAAAAACATTTTTTTCGGACAGTTTTCTCTATTCTTTTTGGAGCGTCTATCATCAAATTATAGACAAAAAGAATTAAACTGACTTTGCTTCAAAATTCGCCCTAACCCTGGGTTGTCTTAACCTGGCCTTAAACAACCCGGCCCAGGTTAAATTGCCTAAACCAAGTTGGAAAAGTCGTGATGAAGTATGAAAGAACGCAAATTCACTTTCTTTTTGCTGTTGAGGCCGTGATGGTTGTTACAATTTTCTGTCTTATTTATTCAGATTTTTGATTTTCACTTTTAAGGTCACAGGTGCTCTTCGAAGCCAGTTATGAGTCTGACTTCAATTTTGTCTGTAGCTTCAAAAAAAGCCTTTAAAGAGTTTAAAACTGAGGTAAAGGTCAGGCCTTATGCGCATGCGCAAGTGAGCGCGCAAAGGTGAGGTGGGCGAGGTGAGGCGGAAGAAAGTAAAAATCCTCTAATTTACCAAACAATTCGAACTTACCGTCTTCTGAGCATGCTCCAATCAAACTGACAACATTTGGATGGTTGCCGACAGATGCCATTATGTTGAGTTCGTTGTACAAGTCTCTTAACTCAGTAACCGTACCGTGCTCTAGAAAAAGGATTAAATGAAGCCAAAAATGTTTCCAGCGAACTCGCACTTCTTAGTGTAAGCTATATAGCTATGTGGAGCGCAAATAGGCTCCTTTTTGCTCTGAAATTAGAAAAACGTTTAACAGCTATCGCAGACCAACATCAGAACAAAAATGATATAAACAAAATTCGCAAAATATAATTTCACTTTTTAGTGTGATTTTTTATTCGCCCGGTGTAAAGGACTCCGTAGACGGGAGATTCTTGTTTGTGGAAACTGGAATCCGGGAAGTTTTTCTTGTGGATTCCGGAAACCTAGGCTTTGGAATCCGGAACACAAGGAAGGAATCCCAGGAATCCCACTAACGATTAAAATCCTGAATCCAAGTTCCACGGACAAAGAAACTGGATTCCAGTACCTGGAATCCGAAATTCACGGCGTGCAATCCAGAATCCAAGACTGTCTTAGCTTCCTTTCCGTGGGACGATTTTATCTTACGCAAAGGAAACTTCAGACAAACATGATAATTTGTCTAAGGGTGGTACTAAATCTTATAGTCCTAATGATGTATTTTTTACTTACTCTTCAACATCTTGACTGCGCATTCAATGACTTTATTATTGCGCATCAGATATCCTTTCCTCACAACACCAAAGGCACCCGACCCCAACTCGTCCGCGATTTTAAGATAAGCACGTGGCACTTCCAGCCATTGCCGCTTAAAATCTGTTTCAGGTAGGGCGACAGCAAGTCGATTTCCGGTGTAATCGTATTGGTCATGGTTTCTTCTTCTATCCCTTGTTTCTAACTAAAAAAAAGACCGAAAATAGTTCTTTGTGATTTTATATTTTTAAAACAATTAAGCGAACTTGATATTTTTATATCAGCTTATATCGCGGCACTGAGATAGTTGACTAGAGAGAGGAGAAATTCCCGAATAAACTATCAGAGCTGGTAGAAATCTTATAGACTTTTGCCATTTCATGTCACAAATATAGTATATGTGTTGCTTCTGATGACATTTATCAAGTACGTACTGTTCCAAGTTGAAGGAGTCGCGCCCTAGTGACGCATATATATATGCGTCACTGGGCGTGGAGAGGACTAATAATGATGACGATGACTGTAACAAGACCCGAACCTCCCGTCTTCTCATTAGATATCAGCTAATAGCCAGCTAGTAAGTTTAACAATAAGGGAGCGTGTAGTTCTACGCTTAAGTTCTCCCAAACACAAGGTATACGGCGGCCCTTAATTCACTGAGAAAAGACCGACACTCAAGGTTCATATTGGACACGTGTCCTGCATGCCTGTAGGATCAGTAATGCCTAAAGCGTGCCGTATGATTTTCTCCACTTACAACATGATGTGCGAATCAAATTGAAGTCACTTTAATAATAATAATAATAATAATAATAATAATAATAATAATAATAATAAAGGTCTTTATTAAACACTCTAAACAATAGACGTGTTTAGTTTCGATGATATACCTCGTCCATAGTCAGCCTTCTTTCAGGCGGTTCATGCCTGGGTCTTTTTCTGTACTTGATGAATACAAACACACCAACAATTACTCCAATCACAATCACTGGGACTACAATTCCAAGGACAATGGCGAGAGTGGGATCTGCAGAAATAAAAGGTTAAACGGAGGAAAATAAACGTAAAAAAGGAAACATAAAAAATGGAAAAAGTAGAGAAAAATAGAAATGTAGATAAATACAGTAGTGATATACCATCAGTAGCCCGTCAACCCCGAATGGCCCTAGGAAGTAGCAGAGTTACTACTGGTGATTACCACAGCGCGTTAGACTGAACATCTATTTATAGATTTTTGGAATCGCTGTGTTCACATGCGTCCGCACAACAGCGGGTCTTCTTCATACCGTTTCCTCGAGCAGATTCAGATGTTCCTAAACTCCAAAACAAAATTTAACAACTTTGCATTTGATTAACTTTCTAACTGAGTTTGCCATATACTTTGCTGAGCTCATTCAACATTGCATTCGTTCTGATTGGCTGAGGGTTTCTTCTGCATGATAATCTAAAAATAGCCTAAACACACGGCAGGCCCTACATGAGAAATGGACATCTCGTGATGATGGGCTCTTCGTTGTGGTACTTATATTGTATTTTTCATATCACGCACCTTTCTCGGTTTTAAATTCCTGCGGAGCTGATGCAGCTTCCTTAAGAGCGTTCTTTCGATGAGAAACGACTCGAACCAGGTAAGCTGTATCTGGCTCCAGTCCGGTAAGCTTCCATTCATTAACATCTACTTTTACTGCCTTTTCAGTCACAAAATCCCCACTGTTATCAAGTACAAGTTTCCTCTGCACGGTGTATTCACTGATCTCGTACACGTCTGCGTAAGGCGGTGTTTCCCACTTAACAACAGCACTTGTTACTCCTACAAGGCTCTCGTCCACTTTGAAGTTCTTAGGGGGTGGAGGTGGAACATCTAGAAAAGTCACCAACAGAAAATGTGGGTTAGCAGTTTGACTGCAGTATTGTTACGCGTGAACACGCGTGCGCATATAGTGTTCAATTGTTATAGCCCGTGCGTTGTAGACTTGTTCGCGTCCTTCATTTATTTACTGGAGATAAAAAGCCATACTTTTTTGGGATTCTCTTAAGTTCCAAGCGAGACCAACAACAGTTTCCTTCTAAAATATCCATATCCGTTTTAATATATATAGCTTTAGCCAAGCCTAAAAGCGAAGCTTCCTTGTATACATGTATGTTACAGGCCAAAATTGAATTCAGGTTAAAAATTTTTAACCTAGGCTGATTCTTACTCTTCTTTTGCTCCTAGCCCTAATTCATGAATAATTAGGGCTAGAAGACAAAGGAAATTGAGAGTCAACCTAGGTTAAAAAATTTTAACCTGAATTTAATTTTGACCTGTAACATATATGCTGATAATAAAAGCGATAAACCGTAAGCCAACGAAATACTGACTCAACTTTAGCAGCTCATCATGTACTATAACATTTAAAAAAACTTTGAAAATGACTTTGCTTAAGGACGAGTTTGAAATACCTGTAGCCGGTGTACAGACACGCCTGTCCCCCCTCCCCCACCTCAGGATTTTCCTTGAGGGGAGGGGGGTCTGTACACAGGCCGAAATAACTGAAGACTATCCCTCCTTGGTAGAAATTAGCAGCTACGGTGTATAAAACATAATGATGTACAACTTACCTTTAATAATTACACTTAATACACTCAGATTACCGATTGTTTTCAAATCTAGCATCTTCAAGATGGCCTCTTGTATTTTTTCAGCAGCGTTCCCCTCTTTTACAGCGGCAGTGAGAGAGAGGGACAAAAGTAAAGTTTTTGCACTAAAAACCAAAGCAACAAGGTTAACAACAATTAGGCACTATTATAGTCTTGACAAGCCATCTGCTGTCTTTTGCCTCAAAAGGACACGCTTCATAGTGAACGTTCTGGCTAATTTCACCTAATTTTGTATTACTGACCTTCAAAAGGGTACCATGTCTCAGAGATGACATTTTCCCTGATCATTTTGAAAATAGCAACATGCATACTCATAGTTTTTGTTTCCAGGCTTTTTTCCCTTTCATCCTTAAAAGGCAGATTTCCGTTAACGTTGTCAGACGTTTCCGCTTTCGAGAGCACTTTCCAAAGCCTCCGCACTTGGTCTCCTCAGTGCGCTTAAAAACCTTAACCCGCAAGGAAAGACGACGCCTGGAGGACCTTTTCTCGCATTTTCTGGTTTCCCCGCGTGCTCGCGTATTTTTTCACAAGGGGTTATTTGAAGTCAAATATCGGTTCATACCTCGTATCAAGTTTTGCGGTGCCAAGCTCTCCCTCCTGGTTACGAATTTGTTCATCGAGAAGATCACCAAATATTTCTTCATACTTTATAGACAACATGTATAAAATTAAAAACAGTTATATGTCCAAGATAACATGCAGTAATTATCGTTGTTGTTGTTATATAAAATTAATATATAGATTTAGCCAGGGCTAAAAGCAAAGCTCTGGTTAATAATACTTATAAACAAAAAAAATTAAATCGTGTAATGCTAAACGGAGACGACAATGAAAATGGCTTCAAGACTGATAGATCTAATTAGCCAAAAAACAAATTGCACGTACAGCACACTTTTTCATCTAATTAGCAAAAAGCAAATTTGCACGTGCAGCACGCTTTTTTGTCTTTCCCTTGCCGTTGTTTTGCACGACTACAACGCTGTTTTGTACAACTAAAACGTCAAACGTCCTAGTTACACATTACTTTTATGGAGGAATTGTCGTATGTGTTAACCCAATATTTTGTTTCCTGTGTTCATGTTCGCTTTTATTTTTCACCGCCGCTCATTTTCACCTTGCTGGCCGCTAGCATTTCTCATTTTCTCACCGCCGCTTTGAATTTCCATGTTTTCCTCTCTATGAAATTTGTCTCCTTTGTTTTCAATAACTCGCTCTAGCTCTTTCTCTGTTATCCACGTTAGTTTAAACCAAAAATAACGCCGAAAAAGACACGACTTTGTTGTTTTTTCTTTCTAAAAGTCCGGGCGGCCATGTGATTTCCTTCCAAATAAAACCTTGAGTTGCATTTGGGTTGCCATACCTGTGGTGCGGACGGACGGTCGCTCGCTCGCTCGCTCGGTGTACGGTCACGTGATTACCAAATTTTCTCGGATTGGTAGATTACCACATTTCCTAAGCTATGGGGCTCCATGATAACATGCAGCGACAGTCTCACCTGTCCTTACGGACACCACTCTATTACAGACAGTTCGTTTGGTCCCAGAAATACCAAAAATCATACATTCCCCACCTCTATAATACGGACAGCACTGTAAAGCGGACACTTGGTTCTGTCCCTTTGGTGTCCGTATTAAAGAGGTTTGACTCTATTGTTTTTGTGTGGTTGTTGTTCGGGGGGGTGGGGTGGGGGTGGGGGTGGGGGTGGGGATCCTTTCGACTCCGAGTCCTTAGGCCCTTGAATGGTTTAGCACCCTTTTTATGAATCAGCCTAGTTCCTAGTTTTCCCGTGCATCGTTGTCTGCGCGACGTTTGGGAAGATTTTGGCGAAGGTGCCGTTCCCGGGAAATGTTATTTTGTCTAAAAAATGATTTTTTTTGTACCCTTACCTGTGAGTTAAGTTGTTGATCAATAAACAAATCAAGTTTGTTTTTCTTTAAGTTTTCTTCAACAACATCCGTATATAGTATTGTCAGGTCGAAATTAACAGTGGCATAATCTACAAGCGAAACATACAAATGAAATATTATAAAACAACAATTAACGTGAACAAGGATACTGAACTGAATGAATGGATTAAATACAGACTTTTAGCAGCTGACAATTCTATGTTTATGTAGAAATCTCATTTTTCACGGACATTTACCTGGCAAAAATAGGGCAAAAGAAGAACGCAGTCTGACGGTCAGTCGACTGACTGCCTGACGAAAAATAAACCTTTCAGCCCCTTCGAGCCTTTAGTCAGATTTTAAACAGTAGAAAAAACATTTGACATGGAACTCTACTCTTTCACTAAAAAACGACTGACTGGCATAGCTGGTTTGACCATGTGACTGTCCAACTGACAGACTGTCTGACTGACTTACTTAATGACTAACTGACTGACTACTGACTAGCCTCCCACGCAGACGTTCTTAGGGGTTCGTCACGCGTTTCTGCCCCACGAACGTCTGCTAAACTGAAAGATAAATTCCTTTCCCATTGTTCGCAAATATCGGCTGGAGATCACATGCAGATTATCGGAGATCCAATCGGCGCTGTTGAAGTCAAAGTGTTGACAAGCCAAACACATACGTACAAGCTCTGAAGAGTGTGATAAGTGACCAAAGATTTTTGCTCCTGACGAGAATATAGGAGATAAGCGTTAGCTTTTTGTATATTTCTCTTTGTAGAGGCTGGATTAGATGTCATTTGCTCATAAAGTCTTTCTTTGGGTGATGCAACGGCGGGGTTACCTTGTAAGACTGAACAAAAAGCAGAATTTTTTTTCACACGCTATTGTTTTGTAGTAAAGCCGACTTCCGTTCAGGAAATTTAACCTCCGAGGTAATTTTTTTCAACGAGATTCTGAGGGTAGCCACCAGTACGAACTCTTGTGAGTTAACTGAGTTTGTTTTAAAACTGAAAGGTCTTCACCTTTCATGAGACCTTTCTGATCTTTTCTGGAGCTATAAAGTCAAGCGCGAAAGTGCACTTCCCAGATCTGGAAGTCTGCTCTGATTGGTCTACGTTTTTTTCCGCTCAAGTCAGCAGACGTTCGTGGGGCAGGAATGCGTGACGAACCCCTAAGAACGTCTGCGCGGGAGGCTAACTACTGACCGAACGACTGACTGACTGGCTGATAGACAGACAGACAGACTGACTCACTGACTGAATGACTGGCCGACCAACAGACTAATTGACCAGGTCTTACTGGTTACTGTAAGAGAATGGCTAACTGACAGTTTATCCTCATTGGATAGCTTGCCTAACCAATATCTGATCTCCCTGGTCTAACTGAATGGATGGATGGATGGATGTACGGACGGACGGATGGATGCACCCGTTTCAATTATCACTAACTAACAAATACCGCTAAAAGTACTGACAAAATTGTTTCACACTCCTACCTCCCACCAACACCAAACTGACGTTCCCGTAAGCCGATCCCAAATGATTGATCGCTGTACACTGAAATCGTCCTGAGCTATCAGCAGCATTTACTTCGGAAATATGAAGAGTTCCATTGTCATAAACTGTGAGCTGCCGTGGAAAAGATGTTCCATCAGCTAGAGTAGCAACAAGTATGGGACTTGCAAGTGTAACATTTACAGTTAATGTTGGATAAGTTACTATCCAGTAAAAAGTCGGGGCAGGAAATCCTGAGATTGCGCAGGGTAGAAAGGCGGCCTCTCGAGCCATGACGTAGAGCTTCTTCGTCTGAGGCCTGATTAATGGTGGAGCTGTGTAAAAACATGAAAACTCAGTGCAGATCAATAGAACAAAACAAGGACCAAAACATTAAAAGGGAGCTTTAGCAACGACGACGGCGACGGCAACGAGAACATCAAAAAATAATAGGTTTGATCAGCAAAACAATAACTCTGCACGTGCATCACGCTTTTTGGAACATTTCTTTCCAGTAACTGCACGACTACGACGTGAAATTCCCTTAAGCGACGTTTTATGAAGGACATAGACACAAGACTACAAATTTCTCCAAGAAATCAGTTCCAGGAAAATTCAGCTACATTTGAGGATTTAACGCGCTCGGAATAATCGAAACAGAGTTTGAAAAAAAAAACGGCAAAGTCCTTTCAATGGTGACGTTAGGGACTTTGAGGTGATGTTACACGAGACAACTCGCAACGACGATTTTCAGCGCAATGCAGCGTTGTAACATTGTTGCGATATTGTTTCGAACGGTTGCAGCGTTGTTTCAACATTGCAACACTTTGTTGCGCTAAAAATCGTCGTTGCGAATTGTCCCGTGTAACATCACCTTTAAGATCCAACGACGTGACAGCAACGAGAATGTCGCTTAAAAAGTGAATCTGGGTTCTTTCAGTCTTCATAGCGGTTATTCCTACCCACGTACTTGCCAAATGTAGGCGGACCCTCCTGAAGCTGAATTTCAAGTGACCATATCCAAGCTCAAAAAGAGGAATAGAATTTCGTCGTTGCTTCTTTATGCCCTTTATAAAACGCGAAATTAGGCATTTTCACGTCGCAGTCGCGCATAAGCGGGAAAGAAATGTACAAAAAAGGTGTGATGGCACGTGCAAAGTTGTTGTTTTGCTTTTTAAACCTATTGTTCTTTTGACGTTCTCGTTACCGTCCGCGTCATTGGATCCCTAATAGTCCCTAATATTTTTGCTGCCGCGGTCGCCGTCGTCGTTGCCAAAGCTCCCTAACAACAGAAAAGGACGCACTTTAACTGATTGTAACTGACACGGATTCGAAAAACCAGTCAATATAACCGCACCAGCTAATTATCCCACACGTCTTTATCATAATTTTTCGGTTAAATAATACACCCTGTAACTCAGCAAGGTGATCTCTCCTTGATAAAGACTTTTGAAATTAACATCAACCATTTAATTATTTTTCCGTCAGTAGAGATCAGCACTTTCATTTTAGGTATTAAGGTATACTTCGCAAGATCTGTAAGTACACTGACACTGTGTACTCAGTGTGAAGCATCTGTTACTGTATTTCTTCTATTCGTCTTCGCTGTTATTCTCCCATGATCCCGGATCTAAGAGAAGTTTCCTTCCCGCAACGCTCCCTTTTTCGTCTCCCGTTGAAATTTCTTTCTAAATCTCCGCGTCGTCTCCCGTTAAATTTCAAGCGCGCGGAGCACGCTAGAACCACAGTAATTTCTTTACTTTCCTTTCCTCTTTCTTAACATTGAAAAGTTTCCTAGCACTTACCACAGCGTGTCAAAACCTCAACAGAGCTATAGTTTCCAGGCCCAGCTGTGAAATTAGCTGCCACTTTGACAGTGTAATTAAAACATTGGTTTAGGGAAGGAACTTTCACAGATTGCATAAGATCACCCACTCCAACACGCCTCACTTCCATGTTATCTTTCAGGATCATGACGTCATACCCATGAAAGTCATTTTGAGGCGGAAGCGGATCCCAACTTATCCCAAGAGTGCTAGCGTCCTCGAACTCGGCTGATAATCTAAAGATGTCTAAAGAAGAGGAAATATCATACACTCAGTCAGCCTAGAGAGACCTCTGGATTAGGGCAACTTCAATTAAAGACCGTGGCAAATAATATTATTTCAGTGTTATTTCATTGTTTTTCATTAGCCCGTCACCAATTCCTCCTTTATTTATAATTTACATTAAACGGTCGTGTGACAGATCACATGACTTACGGAAACGTTTATTATGCTTAATATAGTGAACAGCACTATTCACCCCATGTTACCCTGCGAGCAGAGGCCCTTCGACTTATGTATGAAGATCAAAAGGCCTCTGATCGCAGGGTTTATTAATACCCTATGTAAGCAGGTCCGGGAAAATTTTGCTTGCGGAATCCGGAATGCAACTCAAGGAATTCAAAATCTCAATAACGAATGGAAGCCAGAATCCAAGTTCCACTGACAAAGACCAGAATCCAGTACCTGGAATCCGGAATCCACGGTATGGAATCCAGAATCCAGTACTGTGATGGATTCCCTTACATCAGGCGATACATTGAAACACTGAAACAAAAACATCTTTGTTCCAGAAATGATGGAAGATTTGTGGGCTGAAATGGAGTGTAAATCGTGTACATATTTTTCACACAGTTACAAACCTGACGTTTTCACAAATATTCCATTTTTCAGATGCGTTATCTGACGTTATTTAAAAATTTAGTAAAAAAATAACGTGTTAGCAGATTCTGTCGACTTTTGGAAAATCTAGGTAACAACCAGAGCTACGATCAACCTGGTCTTCTAGTGGTGGCCGTCTTTAGAGTCGTCCGCAACGTTGCGTGACGACACTAAAAGCGGAAACCTACGAGATCACGATCAACCAGCCCTAAATATAAGTTTGAGACGGCACAGGGCGTTGAATCTAGAAACTCGGCGTTAAAAACTCACCTTGCGCATTTATCATTAGAGTATCAAAACTCAGGGAACATAGGCCGATTACAATCCAGCAGAGCCCCACAGGATGATGAGCCCTCATGTTTTATCACTTCGTCATGAAAACTGCAATTGATCAGAAAATTTCCTCGATTAAGACGGTTACACGCGCTCTAAGGTTTACAACAATTGACATGGGTATTATTGTCCCTCAATCCACTGAGGCAGACATCAGAGGGCCGTGGGAACACAAAACGAGTAGACGAACGGGGACGAGGAACGAGGAAGGGCAAGCTCTTAAAACATAATAGGTAACAGTTCACAAATCCTCCCCCCATCCCCCCGACGCGCCGAGGTCCTTGAGTGTTCGACTAACCGCGTAAAGACCAATGCAATCTGGAAAATTCTTTTCTTTTGATTACCGTTGTGCTCATTGACGAAAACATACGTGGCATTCTTACACACTTCGTTACGCATCCTGTTCAATCGAATCCTTTGAAAAGAATGAAAACTATTAGCCAATTATCATATATTAAATTGAATCGTAGTCTATTAGAGTTTACATTCTAGCGCCGAAAATGTTTCTATGATCGAAGTAATTGAGGATAAGTATATTCGATATCTTTTGCATTTCTGCAGATTGACAGAGAAGCAGTCAATTATCTCTTTTTCCGTCTACGTGACAATGTCTCAGCTGATACAAATACGGACACTGACGGTGTAGTATTGAACCATTATAAATAACATACAGTACTTGATAATCTGCAGAAACAAGAGTCAGGGGACAGAAAACAGTTATGAAAGCAAGATACAGTATAACATAAAAACCGTTTAAAATTGTGGATTTCATATTAAATGATAGTTTTAACGCTTGACAAACGCCAGCTATAGCCTGAGTTTGATTGTCGCTGTCTCTCTCTCAACAAATGCTTTGGTGAACGCCGTTTATGATCGAGTATTCCCTTAGAGAATCCTGGCTCAAGATCTCACCCATATTTCAAAAAAGTGCCTTAATCTCTCAACATAGAAAAAAATACTTACCAACTAGCAGATAATACATTTTCCGGTTCGTGTATTTATCATTTTAGCTTTATAAAAATAGAACACACAACTGATCGCTCATTTGCTTCCTGTTGATTTCGCTGATGCGGTCACGTCAGGATCATTGCTGCTGTCACAGAACATCTGTCACGCAGTCTGTAACGATTAGTGCAATGGAATTTTTATTTATTGATCCATAATATACTTGTTGTTTTTTTTTTACTTTCGTTTATTTCTTCAGTAGTTCTTCAATCAATAGGCTGATGAGTCTGGATTATTCTCCCCGACTTTCTGTAAAAAGAATACGTAGAACCTGAGAATAACACGGTTGTTTGTGGACAGCGGACGCTCATTTGAATAATGGCAACATGGCGGACGAGGTTTGCTCTTGCGCTGTTCTGTTGTCTGGCTGTTGCAACGACCTTCGTAAACAAGGTGCTAGCTTCTTTGTCGATATTTTGAATTCTGCTGTTCATTTTCGTATTTTGTATTTTGTAACCTTTACGTTAAGCTTCGACAAGGCTATATTTGGGTCTAATACCTATACCAGGTTACTGAAATGTTCTAAAGGTTTTACATTTAGTTAATTAATTTAAATAGTCTGTCTGTTTTTATTTTTATTTTATTTTTTGAATTTTAGCACGTTCTGTCGAATTTGAAATTTACCTATCCCACGGTATTTCAAAGGTATTTCAGTCACCTTATTTTAATATGAATCTGAATATATAGGGGACAATTGAATTATAGGTAGGGCTGTCACTAAGATTTCAAGTAGCCAGGTATATGTAATTAGAAGGCAGGAAATTGAGTAACCAGGAAGGCTTTTATGTTCTATTTTCCTCCATTATTTCCTCTTAAAGGAGCCAAGGGTCATGCTCATAGTAGCCAGGGAAATCCCCAGCCTCTGCCTCTTAGTGACGGCCCTGATAATTACAGGGTGTTCATTAGGCATTGGCGATCGGAGAATTCACTGCTTGCTATCCAGAATTCGCTGGCTAAATGTCAATAGCCTATGACTATTTTTATTCAGATGTGGAGCCTCTTCAAAAAAAAAACTCCTGCAACGTTAAACCTTTCTCCTACCACTAGAGTTCTTAATGAAAATGCTGTAATTATTGAATAAATTCTGTTTGTTTGCATCCCCTCCCCCCCTCCAAAAAAAGACACAACCCTTGATGACTTGTCAACAACAAAGACAAGTCCACTGTCACTTAATGCTGATGACAAGAAAAGACTTAATTTAAGACACCTCCTTAAAATGGGACATCTAGTCTTCAATTACTTTTTGTAAGTCTGTAAAGCTAAGACTTTTCTCAGACAGTTTTGATTTAAATGTTACATTCCCTTTTGTAGCCTTAATGTAACATTATCACTTGCAACAAAGGTGTACCATGTTAATTGATCAGTATGTTTTGTGTTTTTGTTGTTGTTTAGTTGGCAGACTGGAACAGCTGCTGTAGTGTTACTCTCAATGAGTGCCTTAGGATATATAGATCTCAACATTGTACCAGTTAACAGGTAAGGCTTTTAACTTAAGTTAATTCATCACATTTTTTATGAGATTCATGTCCCTAAAAGGAGAGAAAAAGAGGATAATTAAGCCTGTATTAGTTAATGAACTCTATTTTGCACTTCAAATGATAAAAATGTTTGCCGTCATTTCATTTTGAATCTTGTTTTCACTTTTTATTTTTTTACTTGCTTTAGAAGTGTACTTCTCTCTTGGCTTCCAGCTGCCATGCTTTTTTCAGGGATAATTTATTCAGGATCAGTGGCCCTTTCTCGATTGGTGAGTTACATGTTATACAAGGGCGCATCCAGAAAATTCAGTTAAGGGAGGAAACTTAGAAGCTACACAGATACTACTAATTTAACTGAGAATTCATTGAAAATAATACAAAATTCCATAGAAAGAAGGGGACACTGTTCCCTAACACCATCCTTAAATCCACCCATTTTAGAGAATGGTATACAGCATTTCAAGAAAAAAAGTGGTTAAAAGGAGTCTATAAAGCTGAACTGTGAAATTTTAAATCTCCTTCGTGGGTAGCCCATGGTGTTTTCGTAACCCCTTCACCTAGCATGAGAGACTGATGGCATATTTTCCTCAAGGGTGGGGGGGGGGGGGGGGGGGGGGGGGCATGAAGGCAGAATTACCCCATATAAATGTATGACTAGATAGGTATGTGCCTCTTGTTGGGGTATGGTTTTAATACTTAAGTAGGGTATCACCTTTCCTTTGTTGGTAGTGTTCTCAGTGTGATCCACAAATGGGGTACACCTAAATTGTATCAGCTAAAAATCAAATGTGTAAATGCCCAGCTACATGAAAAACAAATCACTTTTAAAAACTGAATTATCCCTTTGAGTTTTAGGAAAGCATTAAGATAGGTTAACATGTTACCATTAAATTCTTTGTTTTGTTTCTCCCTGGAATAGGTTGTCATTTTTTTTGAAGGGGGGGGGAGAGGGGGTTGGGCCATAGGATAGCCCTAGGATGGATCCTGAACCAGCATAAAACTGATTTTTGTCCACTGCCCTTATATTCTGGCTTATATTCTTTTTTTCCAACATATTATTTCACTTCGAATTATTTTTTATTCCTTGAAACAGCCAGTTCCTGTTTTCTATGCAATCCACAACATAACTACAATAATTCAGACATTGCTGGAGTCAGTTCTCCTGAAGAAGGTAGATGGTGTGCATGTCAATCATATTGCATTACAAAATGTTAATATTTTATACCACTACAATATTGTTTTATAAACATTGTTTTAGTGCGTTTCTTTTGTTTTGTTCAGGATCCTTCATTAAGTTCACAGTTCTGGTAAGAATCTGTTATCCATAAAATGTATATTCATTTGTTTTTGTTATTGCTGCTAGTGTTTTGAATCAATGCTACCTTAATCTCCTCATCTTAATTGAAAAGCAGCTGATTTTTATAAATATTTTTAACTTTCCTGGCAGTTTAATTTTTCTGGCATTTTCAGTGGTCTTGGTGGCAGCCAGTGATCCTGAGGTTTGTGATTATTTCCTAAGCTCATTTTGCAAAAATGTGTAACAATTTTTTTGGGACACTGCATTTTTTAAAATTATATTCTTAAATATTTTCTCTGAATTATAATCTATAGTTCCAGAAAGTATCCATACCCACACCCCACAGAAGTGTTTTGTTCTATGGACCCCCTCCCTGGTGAAATTTCTCATTTATCTTTATTTGTATCACTTTAAATCAGTGAGTCTTGTGGGTCTTTAAGGGATCCCTTCCCCTCAAGAATTTCAACCTGTTGATGAAGAAAGTAATATTTTTTGTTTTCAGTTTGATCAAATGGGCTATAAATGGATGATGGTCCATTGTGTGCTTTCAGGTAATTTTGTAAGTTTCTTCTCTCTCTGAATGTAAGCCCCATCCCTTTTATCATATTCTTCAACTAAAAAGTTCTCTTTATAAAGGTTGTATTTGAATAATAAATTTGAATAGTTTTTCAGGTACAACAGTGTGCACTGACAGTCTCGTTTTGATGTTTGGTTTACACAAGAAAACCTTTTATGACATAAACAAAGAGCATATGCAGTTGAGGCTGAGAAAAAATGATGGGAATCCTGTGCTCTGAACCTGAGAAATTCAGGGTGCCCAGCATATGATTTGTACAAAAAAACTAAGATTTTATAGTCACCCAAAATAATTATGATCCCAATCAGGATCATTATACATTTCTGGGAAACTGCCCTCCTACCTCTCCCCTAAGCCAATATTTTGACCTTAGTGGGAGGTAAGCATTAATGTGGGCTTAAGGTGGTTTTCCAGTGGTGCGTTTTTGGCTATGCTTGTTAATGCACATAAATTTTAATCACGTAAATAAAACAGAGGCAAGATATAAAGTGTTGAGAATAAACATGAAGTTGTGCGAGGTTCTACTTTTAAGCTTACGTGCGACCTTTCATACAGAGCCTCTAGTTTATTTGCAAACATAACTTTTACGCACGTAACCACGTAAAAATTACATGACACTGGAAATCAACCCTCAGGGGAGGGGTAGGTGGGCTTTTTCCCAGAAACGTATGATGATCCAATCAAGATTGTTATATCAAACTTACAGTAAGGTGCCTGGGGTTACTGCGCACTGCCAAAGCACAGCCCTCTCAGTGAAGCTTGATAAATGTCATTTTTTCTGGCAGATTAGCCAGAGATTCAGACTGTAAAATCGCACTGTAAAATCACCTGCATTTGTGAACTGTTTGATGGTATTTTAAAATTGTTTTTAATCATTTAGACAGTAACTACCTTTTTATTGCACGTAATTGTCTTCTTAATTGTAGCTCTTTATGTGACCTATGGGAGATCAAGAAACAAGAATTCCATCAGGTAGGTAAAATGTTTGAGCTACAATCTGTGGCTCCTGTCTTATTTGAAGTTCTTGAGAATTTTTAGAAATATTTTTCGCATTTTTCTGTATATTTTAGTGGGGATAATTCCGTAATCTTTTAACTTTTAAATTTAAACTTTTTATAAATTTTAGATTTTAGAGAATTATGAATTTACCTGATGATACCATGTATAAATTCATTTTCTAATTTTTTTCCTATTATTTTAGTGTCCCCAATTAGATTTTATAAGCTAAACACATCGACACTTAAATAAAGTTGTTATGTTATGTTATGTTAACAGCACTGGTGCTGTCAAACTTCATTGCAATTATTCCAACAAGCTCAGTTTAAGGACCGTGTCTAAGTTGGAGAGGATAGTCCGTCTTCGTAAATTCTCGTCCTCCATGAAACATTTCCTCGCGAAATTTCGCATCGTAACTCACTAAGTTCCGTTTACTCGTTTACTTTGCATACTCTATCCAGGACCGGTCAGGACTAAAAGGAAGCTTGTATATACAATTGTACCCTTCGTCACACCCCAGGGTTTCACCGTACACGATTTGGGGAAGAGCTGATATATAGATTTAGCCAGGGCTAAAAGCGAAGCTCGGGTTAATAATACTTGTAAACAAAAAAAATTAAATCGTCTAATGCTAAACAGGCAAGGCAATGAAAATGGCTTCAAGACTAATGGATCTAATTAGCATAAAAACAAATTGCACGTGCAGCACTCTTTTTCTTCTAATTAGCAAAAACCAAATTGCACGTGCAGCACGCTTTTTTGTTTTTCCCTTGCCGTTGTTTTACACGACTACAACCCTGTTTTGGACGACTAAAACGTCAAAGTTCCTAGTTACACATTATTTTTATGGAGGAATTGTCATATGTGCTTACCCAATATTTTGTTTCCTGCGTTCATGTTCGCTTTTAGTTTTTACTACCGCTCATTTTCTTCTTGCTGGCCTCTCCTTGCTGGCCGCTAGCATTTCTCATTTTCTCACCGCCGCTTTGAATTTCCGTGTTTTCTTCCTACGAAATTCGTCTCCTTTGTTTTCAATAACTCACTCTAGCTCTTTCTCTGTTGTCCATGTTTGTGTAAACATAAAAAATAACGCCGAAAAAGACACGACTTTGTTGTGGTTTTTTCTTTCTAAAAGTCCGGGCGGTCGTGTGATTTCCTAAAACCTCGAGTTGCATTTGGGTTGCCATACCTGTTGATTGAGTTATTTTACATTGGTATACCTGTGGTGCAGACGGACGGTGCACGATCACGTGATTACCAAATTTTCTCGGATTGGTAGATTACCACATTTCCTTGGCTGTGGGGTTCCGCTGTTAAGTAATTAAAGGTGAATGCTGTTCATAGTCCATGGAAATATACATTTTGTTTCTTGCAGTGACCTCGAGAAAATGTTCTACAATGCAGTTATCAGGTTTGCGTCTATCATGCATTTTGTAATAATTAAGGTTGTCAGGAGCCCGTGGGTTGTAGCGTTATTTACACTAACCGGCAAAATGTAATAGACTTTTCCACGGTTTGTTTTTTTCAACTTTTGACATGGACAAGTTAGGGAAAATCCATCGTCCATACTGGAAAGAGCGACTTTAAATTAGTAGAATTGCCAACTAACGACGATACCGCTCCTCATAGTCGCGAAATTTTGAGGACGTTTGTATGGTGGGTAGTCTGCTGTTCGCAGGCTATATGATGGGGGGCACGAAATTGCCACCCCCCCCCCCCCCCCCCCCCCCAACACATCTCATCAAATTTCATCCCCTTTTCCCCCTTTTCCCTTTTTATATTACCTCTTTTAAATTTGCCTCTTTTTTCATTTTTTTTTACCCTTCTCTCTCTGTTCTGATTGGTTTTTTGTTGTGTTATTTTATAAAAAATAGTGAGAGGTGTGTACCCCCCCCCCCCCCCCCCCCTCCTCCTCCCAATCAAACTCAAATAAGCGCTCACCCCCACCACACCCACTTAAGTGAATAAATTCTAATAAGAGACTTCCCCGAGGACGGAGTTTTCTTCAGAGTATTTTACAGAAACCTTGCTTTGTTACTTCTTTGCGTTTTGTTTTTAGCATTTATTGTTTTGTTGCAAAATAAACATACTTCAATTGCTGAAAATGGTAAAAATTTAATAAGCGCCCAGCCTGGAATAAGCGCCCACCTCGAATAAGGGCCCACTCTCAAGGTCCAAAAATTTAATAAGCGCCCACGGCGGTTAATCGAATAAATAGATGATCTATCTAGATTAGGGTGCAGTGTCTGATGTTTAACACTCATGTCTTTTCCTGTTGTAGTGTTTTTATTCTCTTGGGCATTGGTGTATCAACAGGTAAAAGGCTAAGTAGATTTTTTCGACTTTTTGTATCAAAATGATGGCGTCATAGTTTTATTCTGTTTACTCCAGTCATAAAAATAACTGTTCGAAATAAATGTAGCGTCGTTCCTTGCTCTTTTACGAGGGGCGCGTGGTGTCATGGGAAGGTTACAATTTATTCTGGTGGACGCGGGGCGCTTTCTATTTGACCAAGTAATTCAGGAAGTTCCGGTTAGGATGTAATTGGTACATAAGTTTCGGGCGTTCCACCGAAAAATCCCAGGAACATTATTTTGGAACTTTGAAAAAGTAGTTCTGTTTTCCCGTTAGAAACTTTTCTAGTGGAACTGTGTGTTCAATTTCAAGTTTTCACAAGTATAAATCCATTCTAAGCTACTCACGGCGATGTCTGCGCCGTTGGCAACAGAGGGCCGGAACAAATGAGGCTTTTGACAAATGGAACACGTTCTTCGCCCGGTGGACCTCTCCAGCAATGTTTGGGAAGGTTTAACCTGCGTGGCAGGTGTTAAAAGGGGAAGGGAAAGGGGGAATTTGGGCGCGCAAGGGAGCAAGGAACGGAACCCTCCGCCCTCCTCCCTCGCGCGCGGTCTCGCGTCCTAATTCCCTTCCCCTTCCCTTTTGAACGCCTGCCACCCAGGCTAGGGAAAGTTTATCGCCCGTACTTACGCTTTGCATTATCAGCCTTCCCACAGAGCACTGCTCTCTCTGTTTCCTGCAATCAGGGGCGAGCACCTGGTAATCAGTAATCTCGAGCCGTTTAAGTCCCAAACTTTTAGCACACAAATGGCGCCTTCGGGAGAATTTTAGTATTGTATAAAGGTTATCTGAAGCCAACCAACTTGTTAAAGAACTCCTGATAGTAATTAGTCCAGTTGAACACTGCCTTATCGAGGAGACATACAACTGGTTAGCCTGCGAAAACACCCGTTTCTCCTCGCTGGAGACGTTTCGCGCGGAGGATCGTCTGCGACTCAGCGGCAGAAATTCCATACTGATGACGCAAATCAATGTTTACATAATAAAATTTGGTTATGACGTCAGCGTACGACCGAACGCTGACCCTACAGACTCTGGGGGAGGGGAAGGGGAGTCAGGAGTCAGCCCACTGGGGGAGGAGTATGTTATAGCTGAGGTGAAAGTTTTGCATTTCAAGCATCCCGCTCATTTCGGCGGTAAATCACATGGCCGCCCGGACGTTTAGAGAAAAAAAGTCTCTCTTTCCACTAAATTTTAATGTCTACATTAACCTGGATAACAGGGAAAGAGCTAGAGGGAGAAGTAAAAAACAACGGAGACCAATTTCTTTGGAAGAAAAACATGAACATTAGGTAGATGAAAGTTGTTTTTTTGCTAATAAGAAACAAAATTGTGCTGCACGTGCAAAGTTTTCTTGCTAATTAGAAAAAAAGTGTACTGTACGTGCAAAGTTTGTTTCATTGCTAATTAGATCTGTTATTGTTGTTTTTTACCGTTCTCGTTGTTTTCACCCTGTCTTTTGTATTACTTGATTTTATATTTTCTTTGAGGAAACTATAAACATTAAAGAGAGCTTCACTTTTAGTCCTGGCTAAATCTATATATTAAAGTACTTTAACCAATTAGGTGCTTGTGCGACCCCCTCCCTCCGGAATGTTCATTTTCTATTTCATCAAAAGGCCATTTGCACGATGACGTCTTTTTACTACTAAGACCGGAATTCATTTTTTCCCTTTCATATTTAAGTTTGGTAGTCCCTGTGAGGTTTAAATAAAAAACGCCTTAATTTGCACAAGGAAGCAATTCTCTGAAGGATTCTGATCGTAGTAGGAAAATTACGCCAACGTGCAAATGGCCTGTTAACCTTTATTTCCTTTCTCGCAGGTGAAGTGTACAGATTACTGGAATTTCCATTTTTGTACTCTTCCCAGTTTCATGTGGGATGTATGGCAAGGTAAATTTTTCTTAAATAACGGTCCTCTTTTGATTATTCGAGAATAATTCTTTTATCGTTCATTCAAAATATTTCCAAACTAAAAAAACATGCTTACTTCTATGTAAGGTCCTCATCTTCAAACCATTTGACGTTCCTCGGCAATTTCATTAAGTCGTTTATCCCAGGAGTTTTTCTTCGTGTAGCAGTTGGACTTCCGTCGCGTTGTATTTCGTCTGTTCTTACGGTGCTTTTGAGGCAGTAGTTGCCGCATTTCATCCTCGTATAACGTGTGAAATATTCCTCCCTTTCACCAATTCTGCTCTGCCAAAACAGCTGAGTTACCGCGCCGGTTCTTTGTGTGACACTAAATTTGCGATCTGCGCGCGTCATCGTCAGTGTAATCGCGTTGTCTGTCCAATACAAAATACTGTAGAACGCCGATTTAACGCAATACCGAGGGAGTGGGAATTGTGATCATGTTACTTGGTGGTCGTACCCGTGCAATTACGTTGAAGAATGTCATTCAGACCGGGCTTTGCCCTTATAGCAGTGCGTTGTACATACATTTACTAAACTGGGTTAAGGAATGTCAGTTGTTGTAACGGGGCTTCGTTATGTGGGGGTATCATCTCATGTTATTTACTGTAACTCGGGTGAGGAATATCATTCGGATCGGGATGTTCGACGTTATATGGGGGGTCATATTATAACTTGGGTTGAAGAACACCATTCCTTATACGATTATACCCGGGTGTTTGTTATCCTAGGCCGAGTTGTTCAAAGCTGGGTTAGTGCGAAATATGAATTCGTATTTGAAAGCTTAAAAAGCATTTCAGTTTTAATTCTTTTTGTCTACAAGACGATGATTGGAAGCTCTAAAATTAGCAGAGAAAATTATCCGAGAAAATGCTTTTGAACACAAGGAAAAGAAACCAGTGTTAAATTTAACTCTGGGTTAAGCGCTAATCGGCCTTGGAACAACTGGGCCCTGGGGTGTCAGATATCCCGGGGTCTTCTTTGCATAGGGTTTCATTGTATCGGTGATTTCACTGTACTATAGTTCATTTGCCAACACTAATGAAACAAAGTCGTTAGCGCAAAGAAAAAGCACTCTGACACACTTTCCATTTCACTTTTTCTAGTGGTATTTTTGGTGCTGCACTAGGCTTCTGTCATGTTTTCCTGCAGAAGACAGAGTTTTCTTTTTCAATGGGGATTATACATAGTCTTAATAAGGTAATCAGGGATTTTTTTTTCTTAATATTCAAACTTTGTGGTCTGTGCAAAATCCTGGAAGCTGATTGGTTAATTGAGGCCTTGTATTCGGCTTCCGCATGATCTGAAAAATTATTGCTAATATTATAATTATCATTTATTGCTAGTGGTAGTTGTAAGTGTTTGTGCAATGATTTCATCACTTTGATTTGTCGTTACCTTTGAGAGGACGGACACACGACTTTGCAATTCTCGTAACTGATGTCGTGTTTTTATTGTTTCACAGATTCTCATATCTCTTCTCTCGCTGTTCATCTTTAATATATCTCTAAGCATCAACATGGCGATTAGGTAAGCAAGTCATTTTAACGATTCCTGTTTTATATTCTTAAAACCTTTTAGACCAAGTAACAGCACACAGAGAGACTTTCCAATTGTATAAAACTGTCGATTAAACAGGGAATACTGTGGATCCTCCTTCGTACATCGGTGAGGAAGTTCAGACACTTTCCACTTCTGTAGAGGGAAAATTCTGTTCCGTTGGTTTCTTGAAAAAAGTATTTGCTCCATGATACCGTCTCTCAAATCCATTTAGGGTTTAACGCCATTCAGGTAGGATCGCTGCTATGTGTCTACTTATCCATTAATCCTGTTTCTTGAATTTAAATGAAAGGGTGATTTTTTGACAATAGACTCATTTGAAGGGAAAACTAAAACATGAAACTTGGACGGTTCGAATTGTGCTTGAAAATACAGAACTGTTTTTCCTTTGTAAAAAGTGATCGATTATGCTGAGCTACCATGATATAATACTCACTTAAAAATTTTTAGGGAGTCATATGCATTTCCTTATTCCCTCGTATTTCGATAAAACGCAGACTCGCAATCTGGGTCTGTTGGCCATCGCGCGTTGGACTGAGTTGGTGTTTTGTCGAAGTGCATTATGGGACTCTTTTGAGGACGTTATAACAATTCATATTAGCTATTACAAAGTTGCGCAAGAAGCTGGCTCAAAATTCGTCCCTCAAAACATTCCTATAGCACAATTCGACCCCACACCTAACCAATCTCAGGAGTAACGCGCAGTTGTTCTGTTGTAAACCGCTAACAGTTCCCGTGATCACGTGATGAATGTCGTGAGGGCGAACGTGTTACGCGCAAGCAAATGAGGCAACGCTCGTTAGTGTCCTCGCAGGCCAGAAACGTTATCACTTTTTTTCTCCCCAACCCAAAAAGGAGCTTAAAACGAAACAGAGTAGATTGGGTCTCGGCCTAGACCCTGCGGAGGCTTTGTCAGCGTTACTTTCGACAGCCTATTCCCTTATATATTTTTTAATTTTTATTTTTCAGCTTGATCATGGCTCTTTGTTTTGGAGTACTCTATTCGTTCTCTGTTATCGTTCAAAAGGAAAGCGATCAGCGTGCTGTTCTTCCTGTTCACGATAGTTGACATACGTAATCTTTTCGTTTAGTAGTGGAATGAAGTATGACAAATAATAGATTGTACGTGCTTATACTTGGTTTAAGAAGTGAAAGGATTGGAGCGTTGCAGACTTCTTGATTTATTAGTGTAAATACACTATTGAGTTCAGAGGGCTTATTTAAAGAGGCTATCTGATGAAGACCTGCCTGAAAGGTGGAATTTATTCCTTCCTGAATTTGAGCATCTAAAAAGGGACAATTGGAAGCTCTGACAAAGACAACTCTTTTAAAATTAATATGTTCGCGATGAAAGGTCCAGCGACCTGTGAAAGACCATATGGAAAACATTGTTTAAATAGAACTGAAGTCTATTTTAGCGATCGGCGTCCCAGCGAGCTGGGATCGCGGTGATCCCAACAATCGCATTGATCCTCAGGAAACAAAGCTTTATATAAGAAAACTTGTATTCCACACCTTAATGTAAAGGATTTTGCTCGTCTAATCGGGAAAGTTCAATGATTAATAAAAAGAGAGTAGTTCAGTGTATAATACCATAAAAAATTTGCTCTTGTTATATTTTCCTCGCGAAGAGAGGTTTATATTCTCGACGTGCGAGTGGACCGCACGTTGATCCTAGAGGCCTGCAACCTTCGGATGGCTCAGATATGTATTTCTATATATCTCTTGGTATCCTCATTGAAGCCATTAAGCGATGAACTTGGTCCCTTGTTTTGACTTTTTTGCGATCAAGAAATGCTTTTGGTGATAAATTTCCCAGTATTTACAGGATGATTTCAAAAGTTTCATCAAACAACAGACAATAAAACTTTAACTTTTTTTCCATAACTGGACTGAACAGAGTTGGCGTGTTTTTACATTTTTTGGCTGCACTTTGGCTAGCCGGAGATGAAACCTTGCAACGTTTCGTTAAATGGCGCTCTTGGACCATATGAAAGGTGGTCTTGCAATTAATTTTAGTGACCCGCTCAGAAGCCCACACTCACGTGGAATGAGTTGTGCATCGGTGCCCGTAGGGCAGGTTTCTTCGCCCCTCCCCCGCCAAGAAGAAGCAGTAATTATGTTTATGAAACTTTGAAGGTATGTGTATAAGGTGAAACTACTGAAGCTATTTTCCAACGTATTTTATTTCCATAGCTGCCACTAAAGTAGTTTTATCTACAAGAAGTGAGTAGATTCATTTTTAGTTACAGGATAAAAGATGGAGGATGGAGCTGCATCAGAGCAGTAAAACTGGAAACACTTCATTCGTTTACTGCTTTACTTTTGTTTTACTAGTAAGAGGTCTTAAGTAGCCTGGAAACGGGCATGAGTATTGAACAATTGTAAGTAACTTAGTCACTATGCTTCAGCACACTGCCAACATTTCAGCAAATTTAGGTGTTCTCATAAAAATATTATTTCATATACCTTCAAAAAGACCTTACCAGTAAAAATCTGGAGATCACAAAAATATATTTTATTTGAACTAAAAAAAGACCAGTTGATGTTTTGTCTACGTCTTTTACTTTGTCCATTTAATATTTTTAAAAGTTATTCATTCGATTTGTCTTTTCAAAGTTCCAGACAGGGAGAACGTTTCATGGAAAGGATTTTATGAAACAACGAATGTTGTTTCTCAAGTTTTTCTGACTATTTATTAACCAAGTCTAGTATCAAAAATATACTTCACACAAGTTGAATAACTTAACTGTTTAGTACAAAGATTTGGTCTACGCAACTAAACTCAACAGAGTCTTCCGTCTTTAGACTACTGGGTATTTTCGTTTTCGGTTTGTTCTCAGTCGATCACTTCTTAACAAATTTTGTATTCGGCTTATACGTTGACTTACATCCTGATCAATTTTTTCATCCTCTTCATCATCGGAAAACGTTATTTGAAAATCGTCTTTCTTTATTTCTTTTTTCCTACCTGCTGGCAGTTTTTCTACTTCTTCCTTCGATGCTGTGTTATTAGTCTCCTCTAATTCAAACGTGACTTTCTTTACAAACTGGTTTTCATTGTCGTTCACGGCTATTTTAGATGCATTTGTCTCCTTAACACTTTGGTTGTTCTGTGAAAGTATTGCCCCCTTAAGATTTTTTTCAGCGTGCGCAGTACCTTCCTCGAACGTTTCTTGAGGTATTTGTAAAGTAGCTCCATTTTCATTTACCATTCCAATGTCCACATTCTTTGAAGTATCTCTGTTCTTGGTTTCGCCTTCGTTTATGTATGCGGCCCTTGCCTCAACTTGTTCCCCCAAACTATTGTCTTTGGGCAATGACGTCGCTGGTGTGGTCTTACTCTCGAGATCAGTAACGATTGTTGCGCTTAGTGTTACACTGCCCTCGGAAACGTTCTTTCTAATGGTATTGTTGAGTTCTTCTTCAGCATCAACTTTCTGTGTTTTTTCCGGCTGGTGGCTTTGTTGCACCAACTGATGCTCCTCAATCTGGGAAACGTTTTCAGTAACTTTTGTAACAAGCGTGGACAGCTTTGTCATCCCTTTTGTTAAAGAAGGGTCCATTTTTGTCATTTCCTTTTCTTCCACGACATGAATACGACCGCTCTCCTCAGCTTCCGCTTTGCTCGTTCTAAGACCTAATATCCCCAAAAAGGGAAATGTGCAGTTTTATTGATAGTGACCCAAAAAAACCCTTGCCAATAAAAGAGCTTACCTTTGTTGATCTCCAATGAGCTATAGTCATTTCCATTCGTAGGCTCTTGTTCTTTAACACACACCTGAAGTAATAAACATGATTGGCAATAAGTCAATTCAATTTGAATGGCCTGTCTACAGTAAGGGCAATCAACCCTTTGTTCACCAAAGAAAGTCTCGAGGTACCGGGGGATACGATAAAAAAACAAAGGATCTTCCTGTTTACATTAGTTTACACCATAAGAAACTAACCCTGATATTTAAAAGAATAAGATAATTGCTACTAAAAAGTAATAAAAAGAATTTCGTTCCCAATAAAAAAAAAGCTTCCACTCATGTTTACCGATGTTTTGGCGACTTTGAATAACGCCGCGAGATAGAATTGTCTAAGCTTGAGTGAGCTAAACTGTACAAGTGCCAGAGAAGGAAAATAAAACCGGATCTCTCTGAACTGCACTTGTTTTCCAGGAGCCGATCTAGGGGGAGGGTGCAGGGCGTGCGCACCCCCCCCCCCCCGAGATGACCTGCGGTTTTCTGATACAACTGGTATTCTGCAAAAAAAACAACATCAACAAACAAAACTATGTGGTTTATTGGTGTTGAAGTAGAGCAAGAGACGAGTGCACCCCCTCCTAAAAAAAATCCTGGATCCGCTCCTGTTTTCTTAACTATACTTTCAGCATTCTCTTTTTCTGTCAACTTCTGCATGCGGTTGTGGACTTTTTCATTAAGCAAAGCGCACTGTGTTTGTAGGTGATTGGCTTTTTTCGTTTGGGTTTCACAACTCTCCATTGATTTTAGTAACTGCTCACTCGAAGACGAATCCAGCGGCAAAATAATAAGAATAAATGAATAGAAAGGCCTATAGTAGTACGAACGAACGAAAGAACGAATGAAGACCTTTCTCGAATCAATACGTCTCCAATACATAGCCCTCTGGCGTTTAAAAATTGGATGAATATTTGAAATTGCCTGCAACATAATTGCACCCATTTATACCTACCCTAAAAAACATTCCAGGTCGTTTTGAAAGTCGATTTCAGAATATGACATATCAGTTCATACTTGACAAATTACCATGTTAACTCTGAGCGATTGCTTACCTCAGATATGGTGTCGTCCGTTTGACATGAAGTATCTGTGATTCTTTACATCGAACAACTTGTTCTTTTTCTGTCCTGGTTATGTCATACTCCAGCTCGTTGACCCTCTTTTTTAAAATATTACATTCATTTTGTAAAGATTCTGCTCGCTTCGTTTGGATTTCAGCAACTTGCTTAGACTTTAGCAGAGTTTCTTTTAGGGAGGAAATCTACAAATTAAGAGCGTGTACAAAACACTTTTCATTGTTTGTTCTTTTATGTTTTGTACAGTAGAGGATAGATGTTTTACGCTGTTTGCATCGGGCAGGAATATCGTTAGCGAGAGAAGTATTCGGATCGCCATAAGATTCTGGTAAACTCTCCACCTTCCCCTCCCTCCTTTAGAAAGCATATTCCCTGAGAGTGAGAGTTTAGTTTTAAAGTTGATTTAGGGGAGGGGTAGGTAGGCATCCACCTATAGTCAAAATAGAGCGAGAACTGCCACCACTTGTATACAGGTATGTGATTTAAACTGCTCTAAACTCGGTGAATCATTTTAATGGCTAAAAATACCACACCTCAGGCAGTGTTGGCAACTTTTGTGCTCGATCGACTCCAAAACGACCAAGATATACATCAAACGTTATTATTCTTTTCTTTCAGGGATCCTTTGTTTCAATATCGAACTTTATACTGAACGGAATGGAGGTTTCTTTTACTAAACGGTAATGTCACATTGCTGAGGAGATTTCATGTGGACTATCCACAAAATCCTTTTCAAGTCCTACCTGTAAGGCCTTAGCCTACAAAAATCTCGTACCCAGATCTCTTGTCGACGAAGCCGTATGCGGCTTCGACGAAAAGAGATCTGGATACGAGATTAATGCACACTGTTAGTCAATAAACCTTTTTTTTAATACCTCCATTTCAGTAGTCTCTTTTAGTTTCCGGTTCATTTCTTTCTGTGATAGCTCCCTTTCCTCCTTTTGAGTCAAGCTATTCCTTAGCTCATCTGTTTCTTTCAGCAATGTTGCTATTCTAGTTTGCTGCTCCATGTTTTTCTCTGACCAGTTACTGTTAAGTTGTTCCAGAGAATTGTGTGCCTCTGACAATGAATCAAACTCATTTTGTAGATCTATTAGGCGGTTTTCCAGAGTCTTTTTCTAACAGAAAGAAAGACAGTAAAATAAAAGTTATTCACCTTGTTCGACACCGAAAACAGTAATGGATAATTTTGTAGTTAACCTTCTTAATCCCTACCGACAAATATAAAAAAGATGCAAACCATTGACCAAATCTGAGACACAATGTTATTAAGGAGGTTTATTGACATGCAAATGTTCCCATATTAAGTTTTGAAGACTTACAGGGTTCAGACGGTGTAGGATTTTGGAATCGAAGTAAAACTGATACTTATATGAGATCAGTACATGAGTAGGACGATTTCATATACCAAGTAAGCTCATCTCACTACCTACAAATATTTGACCTTTTCTAGTACTTTACATCTAGAAAGGAAGCCATTTTGCTACAGAGTTAACCCCTTATGCACCAAGATCAATATACAAATTCTCCAGACTAGCCGCCATGAGCATTTTGGGGGGAAATTAGTTGGGGGAATTTGTTAAAAGAGCAAAGCATTTTTCCTTTAGTGATCATTTTATAAATTCTTCTTAACTTTCTACTTGATTATATATAGATATTGTTAGAAGAAAATTGATGTAGATCACACTCTTGGTACCTGTGTTTCCCACTCCGTCTCGTTATTTTTCAACGTCTCCTCTATACCCTTTTTCACTTCTT